CAAGAGGCTTCCTCGTATCAAAGAAGGTCATCCAAGCGGTGCGTCATTGGCCCTTTCTCATAGCGTGCGCGAACGTCGCGGTCGACATCCACGTGGCGCTCGATCCCCTGTACGATACGCGTCGCTTTCGAAGATGGCCTTTAGAGACGACAGCGATGAATCTTCCTCATCTGACGAAGTCATGCCCACAGCCGCCGGGTCCCTAGCCTACACACCCCCGGAACAACTTCGATCTGGCGCTCCACTCACAGATCCTTCCTTAGATATCTGGGCATTGGGTTGTGTGCTCTATGCCTTGCTTGAAGGTAACTTACCCTTCCAGGATGACTTTGAACCACGGTTGAGACTCAAAATCATGAACGGTCAATATCGTCTTCCTTACTTATTGTCATCAAGTTGCCCACCTGGAATGTCCCCCGCGGATGTGCAAGAACGGAAAGATGTTGCCGACTTGTTGAAGGGATGCTTGGCTGTTGATCAAAACGCGCGTTGGACCATGGAACAGATTGTGAATTGTGGCTGGATCAACTCTGACGTTCAAGCGCCACTACCTGCTTCGCATTCTCCCTCGATCAAGGATACAGACTCATCCCCTCGTCATAACCCTGATGATCCTGAGGCATTTACAAGGTCGAGCACATTTGCATCTCACGTTTAAATTCTGCGCCTATTGATTGATCGCAACCCTTTTGCGTGTCTTTAGATCTTTTGGAATCACACTTGACTCTCATTTCAATGGGGACCATACTCCCAAGCCAGGAGTGACACAGCCATCACTTCGATCACCGCTCGGTCTACACCATCCGACCCGTGTTCATCCACAACACTCCCTGTTGAGCAGCCCATGGGATCCGTTGTTCGATCTTCGCGATTTATTGGCTCACGTCTCATCCAATGCTACACCGGGCAACGAATCTAGGTTGCCTCCGGGCGACTTGCCATCTCCTACATCTATGCAAGAGAGAAGATCGAGGTCGATAACGAGGGAAACAAAGGATCAACAAAGACGGACATCTGCCACCAATTCTGTCTCGCCTTCTTCACGATCGCATTCTCGTGGCGTTCGAGCTCGCTTCATGCATTGAGCTCTCTATCCTACCTTGTCATAGTTATCCAGTGTAAGAGAGGATTTGGATTTTAAGAGCCTATGACCGTTTGATCGTATACCCCAAGAAAATTAGAGTGACTTCTTTCATGTCAAAAACGATGTATGCCAACTGTATACACACCCTCATCCATAATAATATGTTTTGTCTTTGATTCTATTTGTAGAATTTGTTTTGTTTTTCTTGTGTTGATCGTCAACGATGTTTTTCTTTTCTCTCTCTTTCTCTCTCTCTCTCTCTCTGAATGGACATCATCTACTTAACTGGGACAAAACAGTCGTGATGTTCTTGATATTTTCTATTACTGAATAATCTGAAGATACATCAATCAAGACAGATTTGTAACTTTCTCCTGAGCTTCTTTTTCATTTAAATTTTATCTTAGCGTCCTTTCTCTTTTCTCTTTTCTCTTTTCCCTTCTTTCTCTGTTTTAGAATGCTTGGGCTTCTGTGTATGCTCTCTTTTTTATGACTTTGATTTTTTTTCCTTTGTCTTTTTCGAAATGCAACTCCATTCAATCAATTAATACACTGTGTTTGTGAGAGCTGCAGCAATGAGTGAACCAAAGATCAGCGAGGCTGAGCATAGTAAGCAATGAAAGGGATAGGTCATCGGTGGAATCGGTTCATGAATTATCTGTTTGATTGTAACCCACATATTGAGGTTACTCATTAATGCGACACCTATTTTGGTTTCACTTTTGAGTATTCTGTGAGATGAGAGCACTATACACACAAGCATCTGATTACATTGGTTCAACTCGGCCAGATTGATAACCTTTGAGTCGATGTGAGATTGGGAAGTTACGGACCTTCTGATCGAAAAACTCATGTCGTCATTCACTCAGAACTGCGTGATCTTCAATCTGAGGTATTGAAGCAGAATTTAGATGTTTCAATACCTCATTGGTCACCACGAGGTCAGGAAGGAATTACAATACGAGTCAAAGTGACTCCACCTTAGGACAATCGATTTGATCTTTTCATATTTATCCATCAGTAAGGAGGTTAAACGAGTCGATCGCCCAGTTTACTTTGGCGATCTGGAATTATTGTAGTCATCAAATTGGACTGCAAGTACACTGTCACTGTTATGAGAAGGGCAGTGGCGGTCACGTTCGAGAATTTGATTGATCTGGTGCAGAAGTCTGGGTGCAATCACATACTGAAGCAAGGCTTTTCTTGTGAATGAGCTCTTGGTCCATGACCGAGTTAACCTTCTATTCAAGCAAGATATTGTCTTCGAGCCGAAGTAAGATGGATCTTGTCAATGGTACGTCGCGTCAAGAAGCACTGCAAGCTGGGTGATCCTGAATCTCAAGTCTCGTCTCAACTTCTGATCGGTCAGCACGGTCAACAAGCGGTCAGCGAGGAATTCTAAATCACTCTAACAGACGACAATCGATCTCATTTACCATCAGGAAGGAAGTTAGACGGGTCGCTTTTTACAAAGAGGCTAGGTAGATCGAATATCTGGCGTCACCTATCTGGACTGGAGTGCCAGTGCCAGTACCAGTACCGCGAAGATGGGCATCACGGCCAAGGTTTCAATTTTGATTAATCTGTTGTAAAAGTTCGTAAAAGCTGGATTCCGATCAGTTGCTCAAGCAAGTTCTTTCTAGATTGAACGATATCTGAGGAGATATATCGGTGACAATATGTAGCCGAAGTCAATGTTTTTGCATCAAGCTGAGGTTCACGTCTACGCGATCTAAGACAAGGAGATTTCCTATGAGGGTGACAGTGACTGCCACGTTACGAGCATCTCAAGATTTGGGGATCATTAGCGATGACCTGAAGGTCCATAAAAGCTCGACTCTTTCGGCCTCTTCAGTTATGCAACAACATCCTCATCAAGTCTTATTCTCAGCAATAATATATTTATATTTATCAGGTAGAATACCCATTTTTCTTCTGCTGGGCTAAAGAATCCCACTTTGTTTAACCATCATGAAGAAGGGTATATCTGATTCATTGTTGTTTCTTTTCCTCAGTAGTAAACTCAGCTTTCCGTACTCGAGTTTCAAAAGAACACTTCTCAGTCTTACCAAGATGGCAATCAAATTGTATAGCTTTGTCTTTGTTGCAGTCATCCTTTCGAGTAAGTCTTGATGAAAATTAAATCATCACATTCGATGGCAACTAGAGCTTTCAACCTTTATGCCAAATGAATCACTGATATATTTATATGAATCATTTTCAATAGCCTTAACAGTTGGTCAAGGAGTTGTGGCCTTTCCTTTGGAACATACCAATAGGTTCTTCAATCAACTTTTATTTTACTCTAGTACCTTTTTGCTCATCCTCCTTTATCTTCTACACAGTCCTAGATCAGTTGGCAGACATCTTGGATCTATACTGAAAGATTCGAGGATCTTGGTACGAGATGTGAGTATATTACCAGCTGACGGCTTACCTTCAGCTGCACTTTCTCGCAATACTTATCATCTGTTCGACTTCAACGCAGGCCCCTGAGAAGATAGTGCCAGTGGTTGAGAAACCCAAAATGGTACCAGCAAAGGATCCTACTCATCCAATTCATCATCGTCGCGTCGAGCCAGAAAAGATTCCCGCTGAAAAACCAAAGCCCGTAGCAGCAAAGAATCCTACCAATCCAATTCATCATCGCCGAGCCGAACCAGCAAAGATTCCCGCTGAAAAGCCAAAGCCCGTACCAGCAAAGAATCCTACCAATCCAATTCATCATCGCCGTGCAGAACCAGCAAAGATCCCTGCACCTGTGGTTGAAAAGCCAAAGCCTGTACCAGCAAAGAATCCTACTAATCCAATTCATCATCGCCGAGCCGAGCCAGCAAAGATTCCCGCTGAAAAGCCAAAGCCCGTACCAGTAAAGAATCCTACTAATCCAATCCATCATCGTCGAGCTGAACACCACAAAGATCCTTTACCATTAATTGACAAACCTAAACCTTTAGCTGAAGTACCGATTCCTGCTCCTCATCTATTGTTATGAAATAAAATTAAGCAAATTGATGTTAAATTTAATTTCTTACTGGTATTTAAATCTTCCAATCAACTGTTTTCTCTTAACTTTTTTTTAATTACTTTTCTTGAAACTGTCAAGTGATTGATTTTAAAGGGAAAAAAATATGTTTGTCTTGTTCAAAAGTCTCAAAGAATTTTATTTCACATGAATTTGTTTCTAAAGACGAAAAGTGAATTTAATTTTAATTTTTTTACTTTACTTTTTTTTTCATATTATTCAAGTATGTTGACTTGGTTTGATATTGAAGATTAAGTTTTTCCTTCTTGAATACTGGAATTTAACTTTTGATTGATTTGTTGCCAAAGAGTTGATCAGTTCACTATGAAACTGTATATCTGCTCAATGCTGCCTTGAAAGAATGAATAGCCATTCATAATCATTGGTGAGAATCACATACCATGAAGTAATCTAGTCTGACTTGGAAATTCTTGAGTACAAGTAACATGAAATCAAAATGGAATCTTACAGGCTGTTTTGAAAGCCAATACATTGTACGTTATTGAGTCGTCAATTGGACAATATTGATGATTCTTTTGATTTATTCAACTAAGAATCTATACATGAGCATTGCAAATGCATTTGGTTACGAGTATGTCATCAGGCTATATATGACTATGCAGTCAGAATGCATTTTGACCAACTTTCTGACAATTTTTGAGATACCTTTCAAAGCATTAAGAAAGGGCAATTACATAATTCCACAACCTGAGCACCAATCACAAACTCGAAGTCCGGAACAGTGGACCTTATGAGCTAAAAGTTCTAGATTTGATAGTCAATTTAAGTGACAAGATATGAACCCACAACAACAACAAAAGAATTAGATTGAATTGAAAAATGTAAAAGACTAAGAAAAACATTAATTGTATTACATCTCTTTTTTTTACCTTGTTATGTGATTCAAAAATATCAAGTCAAAGTAAACAAATTGAAAATCGAAGAAAGAAAATCATCAAAAGATGTTGTTTTTTTTTTCAGAAAAAAGAAGCCCAACAAGAATTGAAGATAAGAGGATTAGAAGTGAATTTCAAAGAAACAAAACGAAACACGAGAAAAGGTAAAAAAAAAACTTCATCTTAAACAGCCACTTCGGTTCGATCTTCAAACGGATTATAATCATCTCCCCCGCCACGTGTGTTATTAGAGGAGAGTGAAGAAACTCGATGATGTTGCTGATGTAGTTTTCTGTCCGTACCTCTAGAAATATTCGCATTACTTTTACTGCCTCTTAAAGTTCTTGTGGCAGTACGTTGAAGTGAGTCGGGAGGTGTTGGAAATGAAGATGGATCCATGATATGACGTTGAGGTGAAGAGTGAGAAGGAGGTTTTGGAGCTTTTCTTCTTCGAGTCGTAGAAGTTTGGTTGATGTTAGGATTATGAGATGGTGGAGATGGTGGTAATCGACGAGTGGTTTGTTTTTCTGGAACTTCGTGTGCCCCATTACTCCAACTTGGGTCATGCTCTTCAAGTGTTGGAGAACTTGTGCTAGATTTCGCCCGGCGGATGACATCTGATGAGATGGGCAGAGAAGCAGATGAGTTCATAGAGCCACTTGACTCCTTAGCATTACGTCTATAGGACGGTGGTTTGGGTGCCGGTCTTCGAGTATTAGATGACATGGAGGAGGCGGAAGTTGGACGGGGTGGATGGTCCAGGCTTTGAGACCGTGTGCACACTAGAGATAACGAAGAGTTTGCTGATGGCTGAACTTCAAGTGTGACAGGCGAAGGTATGCTCAAATGGTCATCGGCGCAGTCGTTAACATCCGCCGACCGCGAGCCCGTTGATTCATATGATTCTTTTCGTTCACTCAAACATGAGCGAGCCAGGCTGGAACTGTTGGGTACAGATACGGAATAGCCGGAGTCTCTTTCGACAGGGCCCCAGGTTGACGAAACTATTGCACCTCGTGATTCAACCTGAGCAGTCACAACACATGGGATACTGCCTCTCGTTGGAGACTTGCGAAACTTAGAGGGGCTTGTCTCTTCGTCGAAAGTTTTCGCCTTGGCTGAGTTGCTATCAGTGTGAAATGAAGTCCTTCCCGCTGGCGATGAAGTGACTTCAACTACACTGCCACCACTGCCACTAGCTTGACTGGCCAAGGTATCGTTGCTCGCAGATCTGAATAACTGATGTGGTCGTGACAGTGATGACATCTCATTTCCGGGATCGTTGGCCTTTTCAAGCTCGAGGCACCAATCAGCTCTCAGATTGCGTTCGACTAGCCGTTTGGTGGTCGAATTGACTTCGCGAAGGTGTTCATATTTGATGTGCGAAAGCAAAACATGCCGGATCTCTCTTCTTTTGTAATGAAAAGTGCGCAATTGAGTACTAGTCAAAAGAGGGTGCAGCACTCGCAAGTATGTGTGTCGGAGCTAAAATCATGAAAGAAAACAAATAAGCCGTCAAAAATGGTGGATTTCAGCGTATTACATCAGAGATCAGAAGGTACATACGCTATCACATTCATCCGGTAGGTCACTCAATTCACGGATGAACACATCTACTAAGACACATAGATCGTTGGTGTAAAAATACTCATGTGTTCCCAGGGTGGTAAACAAGAGATAGAGAATCTTTAATATTAAAAGCGAAACGCAAAGGCCTTCAGGGGTGGCATGCGAAGCTCGATTGAGGATAAAGATCAAGTTTTCTCCAAAAGTCTTGCTCTCATCCAAGCGTTGTTTCATGGTTCGAATCACAATGTTCGTATCCGTGTCCTGTGTACCGGATTTCCTGCCGTGACGATGTCGGCTTGCTGTTGTTAACGAAGGCCCAGAATCTGGTTTGCCCTCGCGAGTAATAGGAGAAGGATCGCTAGATTGTTGGATGCTTGAGACCATAAATTGTTCATTGAGAGCGATCTGGAAACGGAGATAAGTTTATGATTATTACACATCAGGCATACCTAAAGAATGGGGTCCATGAAAAAGCTCACGATCAGTTTGATCAGATTATAGTTGAATGTTTCATCCTCTTGATCTCTAGTTAACTCGACCAATTCGAACAGATTACCAATCAGATCTTCATTGAACGCCTCCAACACATCTGCATCTAACTTCTGTACTCTACACAATTCATAGAGTAATCCAGCCAAAACAGCTCCCAATCGCCTTTCGGCTAGCTTTTCGTTTGATGAATGTGGATTCGATACCTCTTCATGCGTCTCGACCTCAACTGATTTATCACGCCCATAATGTTGAATGACGAAATTCGGGTCGGCAATATTTTGAGGAATGAAGGCCATCCTCTTAGTGATAGCTACAAGGGTGTGCATGACATTTGTGATAGCATTAAGATTTAAGGATTGAGGTGTCTTATTGATGGTAGGTAATGAGAAATTTCGTAAAGTTCGAAAGAAAGTGTGATTTTCAAGACCGTACTGCAAGAGAAGATTACAAGCCACTAGAACCGTCGAAGGTAATGCATCAGGCTTCCAAAACCGAATCCAATGACGATTTTAATGCAAACAGGAATCATCCAAAGACCACAGCATAATTGGCGAACCGAAGACTGTAAATCAGTATCGATTGGTTGTCAAACATCTAAGGCTATATGCCGAGATTGCGATTTGAATAGAAAGATAGAAATTTGCTCACGTTATTGAGAAGCCCAAGTAGAATACTTGTCATTCGCTGGCTATGGCTTTCAAAGATATCACTATGTGAGACTCGATATAAAGCTTGGTCAAGTGAATCTTGATCTTCGAGATCAGTCTCTGTTGGTGTCAAGAAGCATCAAAGATATCAGTAACTGTATGGGTAAGTCAACTCGAGTTGAGGATTGAGCACCTAAAGCAGCAGCAACAGCTTGGATGGCATTGTTGAATGTATTATCAAGTTCCTCCAACGAAGAACTCGAATCCAACGAGAGAATATCTTCAAGTTCTGTGGCATTCGACTCGATCAATTTCTCTCTTCGCTTGAATGTCTTTCAAACTCATCGGTCACAATAATCTTGATGCTAACCTGAAAAGAATCGAATCTCGCCTTCAGTCATGCTGCAATCGAGCTTGAAGTGTCCGTCGATTGAGTAAGTCCAATCATGAAAGGTTGAAGATTTAATGAATGTTTTGGTTGACCAAGTATCAATGAAAAGTTGAAATTAACTCATGCGAAGCCCAGCGTTTCAAATCTAATCAGTTGACTTCGATAAAAAGTTTGGGGTACCCGGTACACCACCGGTACCATTGCCTCACCTCGTCCGTTTAAAACGAGTCACGACAGGCGGGGCAACTTTCGCAACATCATCTTCAACCTCAAGAGTTATAGGATCTGTTACACCTGATTCCTGAACTAAACAAGATATGAAAAAAACATCTTAATTTTGATTTCATTACTTGATAATCGAATTGATTGGATGGCCTCAGAGATGAACTCAATGGTGCATTTATTTTAGTATGAAGTTTGATTTGTTTAATATGAATTAATCGTTGTGTGAATATTTCATTTGGGCTCTGGTTCTAAGAAAGCTGAAGTAGAAGAGTAAACACGTCTGAGAAATTCAAAAACAAGTTCCAGGGTTGTAGCAAGAATGAAATTGAAGAAAAGTTGAGATAGTTTTTTTGTATGATGGGAGAAATATGACGAGAAGTAGCAAGGATGGGGAAGAAAGGAGATGTGACGCGTTTGGTCGGTTTTCGATAGTTGTACTCAGATACTTTGATGATCATTCCAATCTCAGTCTCCCTACCAAGTGTGGGATTTATGGGCACTTCCTCTGCCTTTCAACCTGGATCTTCCTCTTGACCGTGATGTGGCTTTTTGTTTCGGATTTCACTCGGTGGCGATCTTCAAGATAACACGTCATCACACATCACAAGCTCATATAGATGGGAAATCATTTCACCGTTTTTGACTCGCCGTGACTCAGATAGACACTATTATCAATGAGTAAGCCAATCCCTACTAAGAGCAAAGGTTGAATGATTATAAAGTGGTACAGCATGAGCTTATGAGAGTTTTCAAGCTCTAAACCTGATCATCGGTCTTGATGGATTTCGGCGAGCTGTGTAAAATTGATTTGAGATTTTAAAGTTAAATCCTTCAATGAGTAAACTTATGACGCCTTGAGGTTATCATCCACATACGTCATACCTTCGATCGGATGTGAATGATACCCGTAAGGATATAAAAGGGAGCTCTAGATTCCACTAGCTGTTGACCATCGCCTCCATCATCCCCAGTTGTCTTACTTTTAAATACTTTCCCCTAAATACTTTCAAGTCTCATACACACATATCATGGGTAGGACAATACTACTTCAATGAATCAACGATTTGCTTACCTGACTAGAAAGCTTGGCTTCTCTTTCTATTCTTCTAGGTTTATTTCATCACGACTCTGAAGAGTCTCGTGCGGTGAGTATTTCAGCATGTCCTATCATTAAAATACCTTCTTGTCTAACGTTTTGAACTTCGTATCATGGCAGTCTGACCAGATCAACGAGTTAAATCAAGAAGGTGGAAATGAAGAACATCATAAAGCAAAGTGAGAACATCTCCTTCATCTCATATCTTCTTGTTGGAATATCTGTCTTAAAAACTCGGGGTTGATCTTGGTCAGGTTTTCTCATGAATTATTGAGCGGAGCGGCCGCGTACGAAGCTGCCAAAGCTTATGAAGATCACAAGTCAGTTTACCTTGCTCAAAAAATTCTAACCCAAATTCAATCGTAACCGAATGTTCATTTCTTTGCAACGTGTTGCTTCTGTAGGAAAAAGAATGGGAAACCTTCAAATCATGCTGAGGTAATTTCTCTTACATCTATCATTACTAAGATATTGAATATACGCTAATGATTCTTTTCTTCCTAGGCGAAAGAGATTGCAGCAGGTCTCGCCGGGTAAAGCCAAACTCCCTTGGATGACCTAGACAATTCAATCCTGGAGTGTTAGAAGCATAACTGACATAACCTTGCGAGGATGTATTCCAATCACAGGGCTTGGATCGATAGAACTTTTGAGACTCGTGGTCTTGACTTTGCGGACAAAGAGAAGGCTAAAAGAGCGGCAAGGAAGCGAGTTGAGGTATGCCATTCTTCCGTCTTATCAGGATTGCTTTTGGTCAAACAAGCTCCTCAAACTGATATTTTGTGACGTCATTCAGAGCGCAATCGACGAGAATGGTTATTGAACACTTCATAACCCTTCTTATATGTACAAAATCCAAACAATATTACCAAAATGTACATTATCAAATATCGTCATAGTTTTAACTCCCTCAACTCACGGTTTCCTCTCAGTCTGACCTTCTGAATTGAATCATATCTGGGCGGAAAGGTTTGTGAGATTCGCAAAAGTCTGTACATATATGAATCTGATCTACCCTTAGTTTTGAAAGCCCATTCATCGCAAAGCTAGATCTGTGCTTCTATATCACATTTGCGTCCTCGAAACATTGTGTTGAAACCTCCCACAGCTCCTGAGTGTAAGGAGTTCACGGAACCCTGCATCAGATGAAAACTGATGAAACCATGACTCAGTGAAGAAAAGCTCAGAACAATAAGAATGCGGTACAGAGAGCTCGACTGAATGGGAAAGTTTTCCACACACTGATCAGAATAAAAAGGCACCGGTAAAAGCAGAGGTCAGTTTTCAGATCTCGTGAGTAAAAATGGGAAATATCACGACTCACCGATAAGACAATTAAAATCGTGGTTTAGGATTACAAAACACGACATAGAAGGAAATAGCAGAGAACGCGATAGGGGAGACAACATACTCCAACAAGGCACTGTGGATCCTGGGAAAGTTCTGGAGATTTTGAGATTTGTTTCATAAAATAATAAAGGGATTCCATGACGGAGAAAAGAAGAAATTCGGGTGAACGAGAGGAAAAGAAGATTTATTCAAGAAATTTTCGAGTATGTGAAGTCCTCTAGCAAAGGAGAATATCATAATCCATTCAACTCCTCCCAGCCAACGACGAACTTTGATAAGACTTTAGATTCCAAGGTGTTCTTTATATCTACCCACATGTAATATGCTAGGACCTCTTCTGGAGTCCAATTCCAAACACCAGTACCTACTGGAACATATTTGAAGTTGACAACCACTGCAAGATCCACCTCTTTCCATTGAACCATATAACTTTTCAAATAATCCCAACTATAAATTATAAGGCTTTCGAGATTTTGATCTCTCGTAGGTTTATATTTGTTGATCAGAAATCCAAAGAAAGTTGGTGTTAATTTCTTTTGGCCACGACCAAGTGCTCTTTGAACATCACTAGATTTCATACCGACAATTTTATCTTTTTCGATTCTTTTCACTAATAAATCTTTCAAAGCCTCAAACCATGTTGCAATCTCTTGTCGAATCTCATCACGTTCCCAAATTTGTGATGTTCCAAATTTCGATAAATCAGACATCTCATCACGTATTGTGCTGAAAGATTTACGTCCATCGGGGTCGATTACATCCTTCTGTTTTCCTCGAGAAGGGAGTACTTCTTTTTTTCCACTTTGATTGATTCCTAAGACTTTAATCTCTATAGGTTGATTTTCCAAAGGATACGGATCAAGGATAGGGTGATGTTGATATTTCATGAGATTTACGAAATTTTCGGCAGATGGATCATGTACCGGAAAGCTTTGAACTGGTTGCGATCCTGAACCATAATATATTGGTAAGATTTGTGGTGGAACTTCATGAATTTGTGTATTTCTTGAACTGGATCCTTGAAGAGTATGTGGTGGGAAACTAGACGGATCACCTTCAAACATCAAATTTCTATCAGGTATGAAAATGCGAGAATATCCTAGTGGATAAGGCACTGGCTTTATGGGTTGTACGATTTGGTCCGCTAGCCATATTTTACCATCTGATGTGATCCTAAAGGGTTGTTGTTCTTGAGCTCGATGTTTAAAAGAATCTGTCTTTTGAATTCCTATTGAAGAGAGTTTATTTTGTTCCGGCGATGCTATAATTCTTGTTGTGAAAGTAGATGGTGATGCAAGTGTTGAATCCAATAAAGTTGGTTGTTCAAGTGTCAATCCTAATGAATCTACCTCGTCAAATTTTGATGTAGTGGATGGTTGTGCAAGTGTTAATTCCAATGGATCTATCTTGTCAAGTCTTGATATTGTGATGGTATCAGGGCTTGAGACACCCAATTTTAATGCAGCGTCTAGATGTCTCCTATTCAGGTGCATCGGCCTTGTGAAGATTATGGATATGAGTATGAATAATATAGTCGTAATTGAGAAAACTGAATGGTACATTCTTGTGTGATGCTGCTGAGCCGATTGAATTTCAATAATCAAAGGAGTGCTGATGTTGATATTCAGTTGCAGATTTCCCAAAATTGATAGTCACAGCTAAACCTTTTCAATTTGAGCGGATTTATTGAATTGTTTGAGTACTAAGATCTATCAGCTTTCTGACAGTGAGTGAGCTCGCCCGACACCCCCTGACGATCATGCAGTAGCACAATAACAGGCGTATCAGATACCTGGATTAGAAACTAGCAGCAACTAGGGACTAACTCAATGCATTCACTAATAACAAAAAATGTACTATGTATGAGAAGATGGTTTCACAAAGACATTTAAATACATGCAATTATGTTAAGCAAGAAATGCATCCCGCTCATGATTATCATCGATGTTTATTGATATCACAAATCAGATTGTAATGTTTGATAGGAATGAAATCTAGTTGGCATTGGTGAGGCATTGATTTTCAATATGGAGAGTGTTGAAAACAATCATGAGATGATGAGCTGTCACCACGTCACGGCTGGGTATGGTTTATGATCAAAGCTTTGTGTGATCCACACAAATTTGTACAATTTCCAGCAGAACATCCCTCATGTGTCCTGCAGGTATGTCCACATTTGGATATCTTATATATCTAGGTCCTCGCACAATGACGACTCCTAGGCAGAGTGAATTCCGGAATACGATTTGGATTGGTAGACTAATCTTATAAATTAAGAATCTGATAGAAAAAGAAAACAATCTAATCAAGAAGCGTAAAATACCGATTAAGGTGAAAGAAAACAAAAGCAGATTACTCCAAAAATTCTCGATTACGTGAACTACCCTAGCAAAGAAAAAACTTGTAGTCCCTTTGATTGTCTCCAGCCAGAAGCAAACCTTGAAAAGAGTTTCCATGAGAAGACGTTCTTTGCATCCATCCACATCAGGTACGCCAGGATCTCGTCTGAAGTCCATTCCCAGACCTCACCATCTGCTTTGATTTCTTTGAGGCTAAGAAGGACTTTAAGATTCACATGGTGCCATCGAGTTATGTAGCTCTTCAAGTATTCCCACCCATCACGCAAAAGTTCCCCATTGTTCCTTCCTCCTAGACCGGGATGATTTGTGATCAGAAATCCCAAAAAGATGTTGGTCAATTTATTTTCGGCACGTCCAATTACTCTTGTGATATCACTAGGTTTTATACCGAAAGATTCATCATCTGGAAGTTTGTTTAACAATACCACTCTCAAATCGTCAAACCATGCTGTCATTTCCCCTCCAAGTCCCCCATGTTTCGAAAGTTCATCCTTTGCAATACCCGACCACTCGGTCATAGTATCACGTGCTGACATGTAAGTTTTACCACCATTAGGCTTGATTACAACCTCCTTTCTTGCTCTGGATGCGCGAGATTTTTTATATCCACTGCTATCTTTTCCTGGTACTCCCGTCTTCTCTAAAGCCCTTTCCATGTCTCTATGTTGACTTCTATGAGAAGGAAGGTCAATAATTGTGGGATGTTGAACTTCTATCAAGTTTGAGATATCCTTTGCAGATGAGGCACGTGTTGGAAAGCCTTGAGCCGAACTCGATCCTGAAGATTTAGGTAACCCATGAGTTGGAACTTGATGAATCTGCAGATTTCTTGAACCAGAACCTTGAAGATGATGTGTTGGAAAACCCGATGGAAAAGCTTTGAGCATCAAATTGTTATAGGTCATGGCGTTGTGATGATCTCCTAGTAGATGTGATACAGGCCTTATGAGTTGTATGTTTCCGTCATTCAACCACATTGTAACATCTGGAATGAACCTGAAGGATTGTTTTTGTTGAGGTGGATGTTTGAACGTATCGGTCTTTTGGATTCCTAATGCGCCAGATAATCTATGGTCTTTTGATGATACTACATCTTTTGTTGTGAGATCTGATGGTGGTGCAAGTGTTAATTTCAATCTATCTAGTTCGTCCACTTTTGGTATCGTGATGGTCTTCATGCTTGATGTTCCTAATCTCAATTCAGTGTCTATATTCTTATCCAGATACATTGGCTTTGACAAGATTGTGCAAATGATCATGAAAACTATACTTGTAGTCGAGCCTATTGACTGGTGCATTGTGGTGTGATGGGATCGAAATTCGAATCGATGGATTTATCTTGAAAGCTGTGCCGATCGCGATAGTGAGCAGAAATTCAAAAAGCTTTCAATCATGGCGAATGATTCTAAAGGTTTCAGTACTAAGATCAAAAAGCTTTCGAACAGTTGAAACAGCTCCCCCCGATGAACCCACAGAGCCCAAGGGTGTATCAGTTACTTGCATCAAAAACTCGCAGCGATTATGTAAGGACTAAGTCGAGGAATTTAATTGATAAAAAAACAAGAAAATTGTGATAAGATAGCTTCTCAAAGACAGCCATTATGCAACAAATCATAAATTCCTTTCAAGTGGTCACAAGTGAGAGTGCGAGAGAATGTGATGAATTCGGACTCTTTAAACTTTGTGTAATTTGAACTAACGGGTCGGACTTTTTGGTCTTTATCTAGTTGTTCTAAAGGTTATGATGTCATAAACTGATTACCACTTTACCGAATTTCATCTTATCATTCCCATAGTGTTCATAGTTGTCCTAGTCTTTCTCAATGGTTTCTCTAACAAATTTTAGCGCCCACCCGCCCTTATTCCCAAATTTGGCTATTAGGTTTTTCTTGTGTTTTGATTGTTGTGATGAGTAGTTGTGCAAACGTGTTTCTATTTTTTATAAGAGGTGTTGTTTATGTTCATTTTTTTTTTAAAAAAAAGAAGCTGTGGTTATGTGAAAAGTTTTTTATTTTCATTTATTTGTTTTATTGGTAAATACTGTACCGCTAGCCACCCCGTAGGGGTTTTATATTTTATTAAAAGCAAGCTATCTCCCTCGGCGTTCAGCCTTGGGATTGGCCCAAACACGTTTCCGTTGGTATATATCAAGTTTTAGTGAGTTTTAAGACTTCACATTTCCAAAATGTATGCTATGAAAACGACTGTATACATAATTTGTTAAGAACGTGCTGTTTGGTCACTTAAGCTCTCTGAATCAAACCTCATCCAGGGCAAAAGCTTTACGAGATCCCCTTTATTTCTCTGAAGCAACCCTTTCTTTTGAAAGCCCATTTGTCCCAAAGCCGTCTGTTGAAATCAATTTGCGTCATCGCAATATCGTTGCCTAGCTACCCGCAGTCCTAAATAATACAAATCTCGGAGACTGTTGGAACTTAGTATCTATGCCATAAAGTAAGGATAAATATAAAAACGATGGATTCCATCAATAAGCTTGAACAAAGTTCTCAAAGTGAAAGACGAGAAAACAAGATTATTTGGAAAATCACACTCCGTTCAATTCTTTCCAGCCAGCAATAAATCTTGCTAAAACCTTAGATGAAAGGGTATTGTTTCCATCCATCCACATCAAATATGCGAACATATCGTCTGAAGTCCAATTCCAGACACGGGAATCTGCTTCAAGATGTTTAAGGTTGGAAATGATTTCAAAATTCGTGTTCTTCCATTGAATCATGTATCTCTTCAAATATTGCCACCCCTCTCTTAGAAGTCGCTCATTGCTTTTACCTCGAAAATCTTTATGATTTGTGATAAGATATCCCAAAAAACTGTTTGTCAATTTGATTTGAGCCCGATTGAGTGCTTTTTTTATATCGCGAGATGTTACAGTACTAGTCGAGTCTTTTTCGTCGGCTATTTGGGTCAACCTAGTCTTTAAACCAGCAAACCATTTTAAGATTTCATTCCGAAGTGCTTCAAGTTCCCAAAGTTCCTGTCTTCCAAATTTTGCCAACTTGTACATATTTTCGCGAATTGGGATATGAGATTTATGAACATTTTGGACAAACCCGCGAATTCCATAAGAAGGCAGGGTAATGATGTCGTGATGTTGATCTTCTATGAGACTTTCGAGATTTTCTGTAGATGGCTCAGGCGTTGGAACACCTTGAACTGAATTTGATCCTGAACCAGGAAATCTTGGGACGCTATGAGACGGATCTTCGCGAATATCTAAGTTTCTTGAACTGGATACTTGAAGCTGATGTTTCGGAAAACTAGATGAATAAGCTTTGAACATCAAATTGTTATCAGGCATGGTACTAGGATAAGTTCTTTGTGAATGCGATGCTGGCTTTGTGAGTTGTACAATTTGGTCCCCCAGGCAAATTTTACCACCTGGTGTGATCCTCAAGGGGTGTTTTTGTTGATATGTATGTTTAAACAGATTGTTCATTTGATTCCTTGATACGGTTCTTTTCGGCAATGTCTTTTTTGATGTGGATTCAGATGGTGGTGCAAGCGTCAATTTCAACGTATCCGAATCTTGAATACCATTATTCTCAAGTTTTGATATTGTGAATGGTGGTGGAAGTGTTATTCTCGATGGATTTGCACCGTCAATTTCTGGAATCGGGTTGGTCCCCAGGTTTGGTGTTCTTAATCTCAATTTGGTGTCTAGTTTTCCATTCAGATACATTGGTTTTGTCGAGATAGTGCAGATGGACATGAAAATGATACTCATGGTCGAGCATAATGATCGGTACATTCTTATGTGATACTATTGAATCGGTGGATTTCTAATGAAAGGTGTGTTGACAAGTGCCAATCGCAACAGTGAAATTGCGTAAGATTTGGAGGTACAGTTCCCGAGATGATAGTGAGAGCGCTTTATCGGAGCATGACCACTGAGCCACTCAAACCGTAGGTTTCCTGACGCAGCATGTGTTAGATATATATACTTGAATTGGGAAGGATCTACGATGGACGAGAGAGGAGGGTGGAGGACAAACCTCAAACCCCAAACCTCAAACCCGGATACAGCCTGTACAGCTCAATACACAACCCAAAATTGATCAACTATTTAGCTTGAACAAGCCCTCTCTGCGCGGCCACGTCCGCGCGCCTCGCAGAGGGGCTTGGGACTACTCGTGAGTTCCTGGCACGGAGACTCCACAAGTAAGTCCACTTATGTAGTTTTTCGCCGTTTCCCGCTTTCCTCACTGATAAAAA